ATAGAATTTATACCCAGCCTCAAGTAGAGAAATGGAATATGGTGTGGAAAGTGGGGACCCTGTTTGAAGCTGAGCAGGAGAAGGTTCTCAAGCCCCTTCTGGAAAATGCTACTTTCTCTTTCTGGTGATTAGGTGCCAGATCGGGTGGGTTTTGGTTAGAGCCATAGAGAACTGGGCATAGGTACATTAAATTTCTCTTTATTTGAACTTCTCTACGCCTGCCTTGCCCTATCTCAGGAGAAGAAGAAAACGTCACAGTTGACACCTCAACGGGGCTTTAGTGAAAACGATGATGATGATGATGACGACTCATCTGAAACTGATTCTGATGATGATGATGATGATGAAGAGCACGGAGCCCCTCTGGAAGGGTGAGGAAAGGACACCCAAGCCAAGGAGGAAAACACTTGCTTCAAAACGCTGGACTGGGAGGATGTCAGTTAGAAGCAAAATTCCAGCATCTCTTTTGATCTCTATTTTTTTCAGATGTCTTAGAATGATGAGTTTTCATTCCATTGTGGCTTCACTGCCTCATCCAGTCCTGTGGTGTCACTTGCACTAACTGAAACATTTGTGTGCTCAGGGATTGCACGAAGTTTTATTGAGTAAATCTGAAAGATGGTTCCTGCCTTCAGGGGGCTCACTTTCTAGGAAAGAGAAAATAAATTTGTATACATACCAAAGCATTTCTTTTTAGCAAGGAAAACAACATACATGCACACAAGCATTTCTATTTTAGGCTCAGATCCTTTTTGAACAGGTAGAGAGGAGGAACTTCAGGAGCCCCACATTGAGGCAAAATGTTCCTGGATGGTGCTTATGTGAAAAATCTCCTCACCCTGTCTAGCCCTAGTTATAGGTTTTAATCAAAATGGATTCTAAGGCCCATCCATTTAAAATACAATTACTGGTTAAATGACAGCATAAGCAATCATAGAATTCTATCTAGTCATTAGAAAAGCTGAGGCAGCTCTCTCTGCACTGGTAAAGAACAAGCTCCAAGAGATACTGGGTTTTTTTGTTTGTTTGTTTGTTTTTTGAGACATAGTCTCACTTTGTTGCCTGGGCTAGAGTGCTGTGGCGTCAGCGTAGCTCACAGCAACCTCAAACTCCTGGACTCAAGCGAGCCTCCTGCCTCAGCCTCCCGAGTAGCTGGGACTACAGGCATACACCAGCACGCCCAGCTAATTTTTTTTCTATTTTTAGTTGCTCAGCTAATTTTTTTCTAGTTTTATTAGAGACGGGGTCTCGCTCTAGCTCAGGCTGGTCTTGAACTGAGCTCAAGCGATCCTCCCGCCTCGGCCTCCCAGAGTGGTAGGATTACAGGCGTGACCCAGCTGGTACTGTTAAATTGAGAAAAGGTGTAGAGGAGTGTTTACACTGTGCTACCATGTATGTAAAACAAATATTACATAGACTATCTCTGGAAGGATAAACTAGAGCTATTTATAATAGTGAAATTACGTTTCAGGGAGGAACTTGGAGGCAAGGAGACAGGTGGGAGATATAACTTTTCACTCTATGTATTTCATACCTTTATTTTTGTATCATGTGCATGCATCATTTATTAAATAAAGTTTTAGTAAAAATGAAAAATAGTTTATCTTTGGATTATCTACCTGCAGCCAGGCACTAAGTAAATTGAAGCAAATGTTCAATCCCAGACTGACTTCTCATGCTTCCTACTTTATTTCATGATCATACCCTATATCTATAAATTACAATCTGAGGAAATATAAATTTTAAGTCATCAATACATTTAATTTTTTTGTTAAGCAAGTCCCCCTGGAAGAACCATTTTTTTTTTTTTTTGGAGACAGGGTCACCGTGTCACCCAGGCTGGAGTGCAGTGGCTTGGTCATAGCAATCATAGTTCACAGCAGCCTCCAACTCCTGGGCTCAGCAATCCTCCCACCTCAGCTTCCTAAGTAGCTGGGACTACAGGCGCATGCCACCATGCCCAGATAAGTTTTATATATTTTTTGGTAAAGATGGAGTCTCACTACATTGGCCAGGCTGGTTTCAAACTCCTGGCCTCAAGCGATCTTCCCACCTCAGTCTCCCAAAGTGCTGGGATTATAGGTGTAAGCCACCGTGCCTGGCTGGAAGAACCTTACTAATAACCTTCCAACTCATTTATATACTTTGCCAATGATTATTACATTTTACTGAATAGTAATTAATGTTATGTGTTCTGCTTTTTTACTATATATATGTTCATGTATTGATACAAGTACTTTTTTTTTTTTGAGACAGGGTCTCACTTTGTTGCCCAAGTTGGAGTGCAGTTGTGTGATCATAGCTCACTGTAGCCCCAAACTCCTGGCCTCAAGCAATCCTCCCATCTCAGCCTCCGAAAGTGCTGGGATTATAGGCATGAACTACCCTGCCCAGCTCGATCCAAGTGCTTTTTAATAACTATGCAATGTTTAATTTGACATACCCAACCATTTTTCAAATGGATATTTCATTTGTTTCCAGTGTTTTACTTTTATAAATAATAGTGTTAACAACATCTCTGTAAAATTCCTGTTTTTCTTTGTGCAAATTATTTTCATGTCAGAAATTCAAATCTCTTATTACACTGTTTTTTGTCATCCCTTTCATTCAAAAAAAAATGTAAAACTATTTATGCTACATTTTAACATAAAAAAATTATGTTTTGGCCATGTGTGGTGGCTCACACGTATAATCCTAGCATTCTGGGAGGCCAAGGCGGGAGGATCGGTTGAGGTCAGGAGTTCAAGATCAGCCTGAGCAAGAGCAAGGCCCCGTCTCTACTAAAAATAGAAAAAATCAACTGGGTGTGGTGGCTCATGCCTATAGTCCCAGCTACTTGGGAGGCTGAGGCAGTAGGATTGTTTGAGCCCAGGAGTTTGAGGTTGCTGTGAGCTAGGCTGACACCACAGCACTCTAGCCCAGGCAACAAAGCATTCTTTTCTGTCTCACAAAAAAAAAATTATGTTTTAGATTTCTACACCTCTGTTCTTCAGAGTCAGAGATAATTGAGAGTTAATTATGATCAACTTTAAAGTTGTCCTGCAAGCCATCTGGAAAGACAGATGTGGGAGAAGCAGAAGCTAAGTTCAGGGTCATGTCCCTGTGGTGAGAGTGACACATGGGCTGAACCAGGACTCTGTCACTTCTGCTTTTCTCTGGCCACCTTGAACTTCCTTTCCCCAGGGCCTACGATCCCGCAGATTATGAGCATTTGCCAGTTTCTTCTGAGATTAAGGAACTCTTCCAGTACATCAGTAGGTGAGTACCAGGACCTGCCACCATACCCCACCATCCCTACCTTGCCCCACACCTTTCCTGCTTGGCTTGCGGGGATAGTGAGCATAGCTGCCTTTCAGACCTTTCCTACCTCTAGTCTGAAACAAGGCTATTCTCTTTAGATTTTTTTTTTTTAGCCTAAATAGTAAACTAACTTTCTTTGAGTGTCTCCACCTTCCCTTGGCAATATCTCCTAGGTACACACCTCAGTTGATTGACCTGGAGCACAAACTGAAACCCTTCATTCCTGATTTTATCCCAGCTGTTGGGGATATTGATGCATTCTTAAAGGTATAGTCAGTACATCCTAAAAGTAATCCTTAAGTGTTCCTTCTGACCCACCATTACTCTCAGTTCCACTAATTTCTTTGACTAGCATTGGCTACATTGATTTATATTTGTTCTTCAACTGCATTCAAGTTCTTAACCTTTCTCTCTATTCAGAGTTATACTCATTGTTAAGTAATACTTTAATACTTTATTATTTTATATATTAAAATTTTGTCAGATATTTGCCTCCTAATTATCCATGACTTAAAGTTTATCTTTAAGCTCCCACAGATCACATGTTTTTCTAGCTAGTATTTAGTGCAGCATAATAAACACGCATGCTTCTTATTGCTGGTAACAATGATGAACCAGAAGAGTTCTTCCTCTTCAGCTTATTGAAAGCAGCAGGTGCAGCCTTGTTACGGCTTTTCCATTTTCTTTCTGCTTTCTTACCTTTTTCTTACCCAGGTCCCACGTCCTGATGGAAAGCCTGACAACCTTGGTCTGTTGGTATTGGATGAACCTTCTACAAAGCAGTCAGACCCTACAGTGCTCTCACTCTGGTTAACAGAAAACTCCAAGCAACACAACGTCACAGTAAGATACTAGCGAGTGCAGCTCCTGGCTGGAGAGGGCCAAGAGCGGAGGCTTTGCCAGCCTTTATGCACTTGACTTACTGCCTACCTAAAGGGATGACTGTGGCTTTGGGTCAGCCCTAATTTTTTAATGACAGCTTTATTGAGATATAATTTACATACCATAAAATTTGCCCTTTGAAATTATACAATTCTTTGGTATTTAGTATATTCACAAAGTTGTGCAGCCATCACCACTACCTAATGTAGAATATTAGGAAATATTCTAAATATTGGAAAGAAACCCCATACCCATTACTGGCCACTCCTCGCTCCCCCACCTCCTTCTAGACCCTGGTAACCACTCCATTCCTTTTTATGGCTGAATAATACTCCACTGAATGGATATACCACATTTTGTTTATCTGTTCACCAGTTGTTTCCACTTTTATTAATAATGCTGCTTTGAACATTTGTGTCCAAGTTTGTGTGTGTGTGTATATATATATGCAATCCACGTTTCTTAGAGAGATATATATATGCACACACATATGTGGGAGTAGAATTGCCGGGTCATGTGTAACTCTATGTTTAACCACTTGAGGAACTGCCAAACTGTTTTTCCAAAGTGGCCGCACCATTTTACAATCCCACCAGCAATGAATGAAAGTTCCAGTTTCTCCACATCTTCACTAACACTTGGTATTGTGTCTTTTTGGTTCTAGCCATCCTAGTAGGTGTGAAATGGTATTTCACTATGGTCGGTCCTGCCCTGTTGACCTGCCCTTGCTCATGCTGCAGCAGATTTCATCAGGGTTTCCTGCCCCTTTATTGGCTGCTGTCAGGCTTCCCTTTCATGAGCTTCCTTGTGTGTAAAAGAGCAGCAATTTGATGGGCCGCTCTGTAAGAATAAGAGCACTACTTCACCGCCATCAGCCAGGCTTTCTACTTATTTTTCTAGCAACATATGAAAGTAAAGAGCCTGGAAGATGCAGAAAAGAATCCCAAAGCCATTGACATGTGGATTGAAAGCATCTCTGAGTTACACCGTTCTAAGCCGCCTGCAACTGTGCACTACACCAGGTAAGAGATACCACATTCTTTATGGCAGTCATCCGTAGTCACCCTCGCCACCTGTGAACTATTGCTCCTGAGCAGAGGCCCAGAGACTAGGGACATATTTGATCAACCTGAGGGCCTATGGATCCTGGCAGCTGCTGGCTCAGGTCACTGACATACTCTGGTATCATTACTGGGCCAAACCCCAGGCCCTGGGTAAGTTTGGTTTGCTCCGTTTAGGTGCTCCTGAAATCTTAATGTGCCAGAATGAAGACCTCTCCTTCATCCTAGAATATCCTGGTCCAGAGGCTGCTGATGTCCAGTCTACGTTTCTTGTTCATATTTACCTCTGTACTTTCAGGCCCATGCCCGACATTGACACGCTGATGCAGGAATGGTCCCCAGAGTTTGAAGAGCTTTTGGGCAAGGTAAGTGGAAGGTAGCAAGAGGTAGGAAAGTATGGCATTCACTCTAGGGCCTGTGATTTCTCTCTTTCTATATCATCATCATCATCATGATTATCATCATCAATTTCTTAATGATAATACATGAAACCCATGTATATGTGTGAATTTGGTATATAAGGAATGTAGTTTTTTAAATGATTCACAATAGAATGAGGTTGCAATGAGACAGTTGACTCCATTTGGAAAAAAA